CACACACACACATTATTATTGTATTTTAAAATGTTCTTATTTTATTAAATTCCGCTTCATATATTTTTTACATAGGATTTTAATTGTTTTTATTTAATTCATATATTTTTTTAATTTCCTGCTCTTCAACTCTTATCTTCGTTTACTTTGGTTTGTAATGTTTTATTTTTGTATTTAAATTAATTTTATGAATCAGTTGACCTGTGAGTGAGGCTGTGGGATGTGTCGCCCTCTGGCGGCAGAGGGAGGAACATTAGTGTTCTTTTCTTTAAATACTAATGTTTTCATTTCCACATTTATTATTTTTGTATTTAAAAAATCATTTGTATTATTAATGTATTCCTCTTTATATTTACAATGTTTTACCTTTACCACTTTTGAAAAGAGTATCGTTAAAGGTCCCATGTCATGGCCATTTCTACTGATCATAATTCCATTGTTGAGGTCTACTAGAATAGATTTATATTGTTCAATGTTCCAAACTCACATTGGTTTCTCATACAGCATCTCTGTATAGTATGTGTATTCACTCTCTGTCCTACACGGCTTGTTGGAGCTCCTGCCCCCCCCCTCCCTGTGAGCCCACTGTGCTCTGATTGGTCAGCTCGCCCACTCTGTTCTGATGAGTCCACCACCGTTACAGCGGAACATCAGTGATTATGTGTTACAATGGCGTTTGTTAGCAACCAGGAAATGACACCAGTAATGACAAACAGAGGGGAATGCTGCGTGGGGTCTGGGTGCCGTGTTGGCGGGACGTTGCGGGGCTCGCTGCTCCGCCCTTTGAGGCTCGAGGAGCCGACAGTGTGAGCTGGATTACTGGTGTGGTTTCCTGGTTGCTGCGTGGGGTCTGCGAGACACCGTGGAGCTCAGCCTGAGCACACACACTCAAAGCCTGAGCTCCGAGTGCGTGTGTGTGTGTGTGTGTGTGTGTGTGTGTGTGTGTGTGTGTGTGTGTGTGTGTGTGTGTGTGTGTGTGTGTGTCTGTGTGTGTGTGTGTGTGTGTGTGTGTGTGTGTGTGTGTGTGTGTGTGTCTGTGTGTGTGTGTGTGTGTGTGTGTGTGTGTGTGTGTGTGTGTGTGTGTGTGTGTGTGTGTGTGTGTGTGTGTGTGTGTGTGTGTGTGTGTGTGCAGCTCCGCGGATTGGTCCATTTTGGACTTCGTTACATCAGTATGCCCCGGAAGGCAAAAATGGAAAAAGTGAAATCTCCAACGAGGCGTTCTGGGGCAGCATAGACACGTCTTTTCTGTTTTAGAGTTTTACTCGATACAGGCTTTGAGGGTTTGTGACTCTGCAGACCGTTTACATGCAGACAAACCTTCATAACACACAAGGGGACGGGTAATACCGGAAAAACATGTCATGGGACCTTTAAATACTTCGCTGGTCATGTGACGAGGACAACAATAGACTGTATACAGGTAACAACCACACCCACACACACGCAGGCACACACACACACACACACACACACACACACACACACACACACACACACATACACACACACACACACACACACACTTACAGTATTAAGGACAGAAATAAAGAGAGAGAGGGTCTCTGAGTTATTCCCTGAGTAATGATTGATAATAATAATAGTTTTTGTGTGCAGGTGTATCTCAGGTAAAAACAGGAAGAGAGTTAAAGTCTGTCTCTGAGTCTCTAAAGTTAAACTAAAGAGTTGTTCTTATTCTCTGAGCAATGATTGATAATCAGAGTTGTCTCTAAAAGCTCTGAAGTCACAAAAAGTTACAAACCTTTAGAGAGAAGAAGGAGAAGGAGAAGGTGCGACACGACCGACGAGCACGAAGTGAAGATAAAATTGACCTTTATTAACTTAATTAATTATTAACTGAACAGCAAACAGGAAGCACTTCAAAATAAGAGCTCTTGCATAACATTTTATTTATATTCCTTCTACTTTAAAGGGGACCTATCATGCAAATTGCACTTTTGTACGTCTTTTATACATGAATATGTGTCCCCGGTGTTCCAGGGAACTCACCAAGTGTCAGAAAACACAACCCTCTCTATTTTCCTCCATACCCAAATCTCTAAAAAAGGGGCTGCAACGGATCTGATAAAAACTGATCCAGATTTGAACACTGTCCTGACGTCAGGACGGTGGCGCTACGGCTATTGGGCCAACTCCACCAATCAGGAGGAGACAGCCACGGCCATTGCCGTTCGAAAGCGCTGGAGACGCTGTAGTACATATGCCAGGCCTGTAGATGGTGCTGTTCTCACTGAATCTGCCCCTGCTAAAACAAAGCTAGTCAAATTGAGCGAAATGAGGCATGGCTAAAATGCATGATCTGTTTGGTATTTTGAAAAAAAAAAAGTATAAATATGCCTTATATAGGTATGGTCCTACACTATATTATTCAAATATAGCATGATAGGTCCACTTTAAATAAAGTGAATGTGGACTGGTCTCTGATGGGAGATGGGATTGAGTTCCATTGCTGAGCAGCTTTAACAGAAAATGAAGACTGACTGAAAGAACTTTTTCTGAGTGGAATAATGCAATCTCCTCTCTCTGCACCTCTTGTTACCCTAGTTGCAGTTGTGCGTATGTTAATAAACTGTCTAAGAGGAGGTGAGGTAAGGCCGTTGACAATCTTGTAAAAAAGGCAAGCATTTGCATGTTTACTGAGGTTTTCCCAGCTTAGCTACTTGGCACTAAGAGTACTGATATGTCTACCCTTTATTTTCTGAGTGTAATATCTGCATTTTCTCTTTTGAAAAACTAAGTTTTAGTTTGGCCACTCAATTTTAATCACACACGTCTCCCCATCCCATTCAAATTCAAATTATTGACTGAAAGAGCAGTGTACTCGCCATAAAACACGATGTCCCTTTAACTCCTATGAAAATGTTAAAAAAGTGCTCAAAATTTACATGTGTGCTAACAGTCCAGCCGTGAAGACATCTACGAGACAGTTTTGAGATTTCTTCAAATGCTGTTGCCATGGCAACACAATGCTCGCCATGAAACACGGTTTTCTCATAACTTCAGTGAAAATGCTTCAAACGGCCCAAAACTTCACAGGTTTGGTAACGATGCAGCCATCAACGCATCTAAGCGTATTATGGGGTGTCATCAAATGCCGTTGCCATGGCGACAGACCACTCGCCATGAAGCACGATGTCGCTGTAAGTCCAATGGACACGGTCCGATCGCCCCCCAAACTTCGCTTGTATATCACCGGTCCAGCCCTCAACAGCTCTACGTCAATTATGGGGTTTCTTCAAATGCTGTTGCCATGGTAACACAAGGCTCGCCATGAAACACGCTTTTCTCATAACTTCAGTGAAAATGCTCCAAACAGCACAAAACTTCACAGGTTTGGTAACGATGCAGCTATCCACACATCTAAGCGTATTATGGGATGTCATCAAATGCCGTTGGCATGGCGACAGATCATTCACCATCAAGTTAGTTCAAAAGTTTGCAGTTCAAATATTGTGCTGCTTTTCCAAGCCTTTTTACGTTCTTTTCTTCTCTCATCACACATTCAAGCCCCCAGTGTTCATGTATCATTTCAATCTAAATTCTTCACTTTCTTCTTACACATTACATTTCAGCATAGATTTTCAGCATAAAGCATTCCCACTAGCAATTTCTTCAGGAATTGCATTCTCTAGTTAGACCTGCTCTTGCAGTTAAAAGCAAGTGTGTATGAGGAAAGGAGGTACACACAAGTTATTATTTCCTTTGGATTTAGTGTCTAATACAATAGTTGATAAAAAGGCTGTGCAAGCAGCGACATTCCAAACACGAGATAGCAACATGTCACCACACCTTTATTGATTGAGATGATGTTACCTGTGCTAACATCAACACTGGTATTGTTTTACATTGTGAGTCTGTCAACCTGACACATGTCAACCTGTGACTCTTCTTTCTGAACTACCACAGAAGGGATTTAAGAACTTGGTTGCCAGGTGGGTAAAATTAAGCAGACAGATATTGTCGCTGCGATAGCATTGCAACCGTGCAAGATGCAGTGACAGAGCTTTTTGAAATAAAATGAAAGGCTTAGTTTAAGGTCACAGCTGGTTCGATCCCGTGCAAGATGAAATCTAGTTTAGAAATGACATCGATGCACCTATGTTCATTTATTATAATTTAAAACACAACAGTTATGTTCAGCTTTTCTTAAAATGTGTTTTATAGTGTTTTTTATACTACATAAACTGAGCTATATGGGTCACAGCCTTGGTTGGTATTATTTATATGTATAGTATATTAACTTAGATTATAAAACAAGACACACCTAAAGCAAGCAAGAGTGTTCGTTTGGTTGGGAATTCCCAGAGCTTGAATAAAGCATGGGCCAGCAAAAGACACAAAAAAAGGCATGACATCAAATGTCCTGGCTTTTAAATAAACATTAATGCTACGTTGGTTTCTGTTGCTTCTACACAATGAATGCTCCAACTATCATGCGCACAGGAACACGTTGTTATAGGACAGTTTATCTAGCCAATCGTAATGTGTGGGTAGGGTAGCCTCAGTTCCTCAGTTACCTGAGACAGTGACAGACAGACCAACACACTCTCACTCCCAACGCGTCCAGGAGCGACGCTTGGTCAGAATTCCGTGGCGTCCAGTTGTGACGCGCCGAGTTTCCATCAGCGTCATAAACGGATGCAAAGAGCTTTCAACTGATTGCAATGTATTCCCATCGGCGTCGGTATTTGACGCTTAGGGAAGCACGGCATTCGTTTGTGTCGGCAGCTGTTAAAAGTGAGCGTCCATTCCCATTGGATAACGGAGAATTGTACACCCGGAAGTAAGTATTCTCCTTACTGTCGATTGATTTGACAGTGATATCTCCATTACTCATCCACTCAAAAACACCAGATTACCTTTGTTAATTAAACGACATTGATAGGTTTAAATTGTGTACAATGCTTTTGTGTTTTTCCCCTACAATTCTGAGACAACTTGTTTTCTCTGAAATGTGGAGCGCCAAAGAGACTACACTACCCACAATCCCCAGCTATTGTTGTGACGACTTTTGAGTTTTGGATGGCCGAAGACACTACACTACCCACAATCCCCAGCTATTGTTGTTACGACTTCTGTCCGCTTTGCGATTACATTACCCACAATCCTCAGGTACCGTCGTTAAGACGGCATACCTTTGCACTTTACGTGACCAAACCTGGATCAGTCGCAGTTCTTCAGAATCAAGGTAAGAGCATGGGTAACACATAGTTATAGGAAATAAACTTAGCCACGAATAATAATAATAATAATAATAATAATAATAATAATAATAATAATCTAATCGGCGCCAATGTTGCTTCTGGCACCTTTCTGAGGGGTATAGTAACTAAATAATATAGGGTATTACCTAAATATAACAAATGAACTCGCCTGAGCTAGCTTGCTAGCTAGCTAGCTAGAACACGCACTGCAATTTCTCCATAGAATTTTGGAAAATAGCTCGAAATAAGGTCTGTGGTTGACACACATTTAAGAGACGGATCACGTTTTGTTCAGCCGGATAATCTCCACTCTACTAGGATATTACCTAAATATAACAAATGAACTCGCCTGAGCTAGCTAGCTAGCTAGCTCAGAGACGGATCACGTTTTGTTCAGCCGGATAATCTCCACATGTTTCGAATTTTCGAATCGTAAATCTATTAATAATACTTTGTATACATGTGTTTTTAGTATTAATAGTAATAATACTTTTATAATTGTTGTACAAATGACTTATTTAAATGACTGGTGGCAGTGATTTTGCTGTGCGATGGTGTGAAAATACCTTTAATGACAACAGTAGTAAGCATTAATTGGTTATTAGCCAAGTAGAAAATTGTAAACAACAACAATTACACTGGCATTGTCATTTTATTTTTGAGTTTCTAAATTATGTTGTTTTCTCTCAACAGATCCTGCAATTTGTTCTCCAAAAAACAACCCTTTGTTTTTTCAAACTCCAAACAACCCAAAGGCACTTTTAAGAGCCAAGTCTGTCTTGTTAAACTGTCCTTGCTGTGTTGTACTTGATAGTCTCTTCCTATCTCTCTATTTATTTCTCTGTCTAACTCTGTTGTCAGTCTTTCTTCTGTGTCTCTGTCTGTGTCTCTTCACTATAATGAGTGATTCTGATCTTGAGGATCTCCTGAGAAGCGCAGATGAGCTGGTTGAGCAGAAAGAGTTAAGGGATGACCTACGGAGTGCTGATGATTTGCTTTGTAAAGTGGAAGCGGCAACAACAGCAGCAGTAGCAGTAGTAGCAGCAGCAGCAGCAGCAGCAGCAGCAGCAGCAGCAGCTGCAGCAGTGCCAGCAGTGTCAATGATGTGCTGGAAGAAGAGAGACAGTGAGGGAAACTTGATCTTTGCAAGACCACGTTCAACCCGGAATGTCTCAAATCAGGGTCAGTATAAGATATATATTTCTAGGCACTTGAGTATATGAAATGAATGAAAACATAACTCTTGGTAAGGGAAAAGTATTACAATTTAATGGTATAAAATAAATGTTTTTTCTGATACAGCTGGCTGCAGTCGTAACACTGATCCCCCCGTTGATGCTCCTGACCCTGACTGTGATCTGGTCTTTGCTCCAGTTATCGCTCCAGAGACTGTTGGTATGTACTTCATTTGGTCTGGTTAGCCCGAAACACATATTCATACTTGTATCTTTATGTGATACGTACTTCATTTCTAAACTTCATAATTTGCTAGAATTAAGAACACAGTAGTTACAGCTTTCAAAACCACTCCATCCAGTATGTTTTAAAGAAAACTAATCATTGTGCTTTGGACTTTATTGTACCGTTTTAACAGAGGGGTTTCTACGAGATCTCCAGCAGTCTCTGAGCGATACTACAGGAGATGAGGTGGTAGCACAGACCCCAAGTGCTTCTCTGCTGGCATCGACCAACTGGAGCACTCGAAAAAGTTTTTTTTCAGAGAGCTGGAGGGCAGCGAGACCACATCTGGTTAACACCGTAGTGGCCCAAGCAAATGTGGGAACACACATTTGCCAACAGTGTTGGAGCAAAACGTCTGTTGTCCGGTGCCGGGATTGCCGACCACATCCCTTCTTCTGTGCTGACTGTGATGTCAGCATGCACACCAGACACCCCCTCCACAACAGAGATGCTACTACTGCAGGTTACTTCCAGCCATTGGCCCCAACAACACATGTACTAAATATGGCCCTTTGCTCCTGTGGTAAGTTCTGGTTTGTGAATGTACATTTTCTTGCTGGACTTGTTGAGAATTTCATTTTGAAAATGTGAGCTTCCTCAACATCTCTGTGTTAATTCCCAGCAGTGTGCTTAAGTCTCTTTTTAATGTTCTGATGTAAAGTTAAATCCTAAATATGTCACATAACAATGTAGTATTTTTAAAAAGAGACAAATTATTTTTAATTCCCATTTGAATTTTTTTCCAGTGCGGTTTGTACCTGTGGAGATCCCGGACAAAATCTGTGGTTGTGCATCAGAGTCATTCAGCCTCAAGCCAGGAAAGACTGTGACTGTGATCACAATGAATGGTAAGAATGGGAAGAATGTTTGTCTTGTTTCTTAAGATAGATGTTATTGAAGTTTCTTCTTGATAATATCCAACCCTTCTCAAAGACATGTGGGATAGCTTGTCTATTAAACCTTAACATGGGTATTGAGTAAAGAATACCAAATGTATTAAAAACACCTTGTCTGTTTTTCAAGGACGACATGAGCTAAGCATGCCAGAGTTGGCTTGTGAAGCATGCGCTGCGACATGGACGACTGGGGTTGACGACCTTCTTCGGAGTGACTACTGGCCAGCTACCCTTCACTTCGCCACCATTTATGCCACAGATGTTTTCTTCTCATTTGAAGAAATGAAAATGGCTGCACCTGGACTATCCTTTCAGGCATATTTAAGGATGCTCGATCAGCGAACGTTGCGCTTCGGCCGTGTGAGTATTGAAGTTACTTGTCCTTTTTGATCTATTTGTATTGTACAAATTGTAAGCTGTGTCCTTATAATTTATAATCTATTTTTGACATAATTATCTGTTGATGTCCTTATTTTGTTATAGACTGGGAAGATCTCAACTGACAGCTTCATCAAAAGTTTCTTTGAGTGGGAGGCTGTGCGTTATGAGGTCGACATCATGTGCAAGGAGGAGCCCTTCACCTGTCCTGCGTGTAGCCCTGATATGCTTGCAGTTTCCGTGGATGGAAACCGCAAGCATTACCGTTTCAAGAATGCAGCTAGGTACTATAGAAAATATATAATGTCACAGTATTTGAACAAATAACGAAACAAAAGTATCTTGATGTGAACCAATCAATAATCTGAGATGTCATACATTGCTCCTTTGATTTATTTAGATCTGAGGAACAGGCCATCTTTGACGGTGTCTTTATAGCCAGGGATGAAGACGTCTCAAGATTTGTGGACTATATACACACCACAACCAAACATGTAATATTGCAGACTCTAATTATGTATAATATAATATCCTAATGAAGGGTTTGGTTAGGTTAGTCTTTGCACCATTTTCATCAATACATTTTTATATATTAGGTCTCCGGAAGAGGTGTTTGTGGAGGACAGTGGTCGGCAGCCAGAGAGACCTCCCAAAAATCAGCCGGCAAGCTGGATGAGGAGGGACTAGAGCTTGCCGTCTGTCGACATGGAGTGCTCCTCTGTGCTCTCAATATGTACAGGGGAGAAATCTTTGCTTATCCCCTGTACCTACAGAAAAAGCTGGCCAGTAGTATGTTCTTTTGCATGGATGTGACCTGCAAATATTGGCCCTACCTCCAGAGAATCACAAAAAGCTGTCCAGAGCTCCAGCATCTTCTCGACATGAAGCCCTTTCTCTCAGTGTTTCATGCCAAAGCGCATGACTTCAAATGTGAAGTAAGGAATTGTTACCATGTGACACAATCACTTTATGTAAAAACCTCCTTGTGAATAGTGACAAGTTGTAACGAGTCGTACTTTTGAATATATTTTAAACAGGTGAAATGGAGTGGGGCATATCAAGAGGGGGCTGGACTAACCCTAGGGGAGGAGGTGGAACAGGTCAATGCCTTCCTCTCTCGGATAGCAGTGACCACAAAACACATGTCAAAAGCAGGTGAGTTACGAACCTTTACTGTCAGTTTTCAAAAAATGTTCAGAAAGGCACAGATTCCACTAACAAATTACACCAACAACAGAAACTCATAAAAGCTCATTGACGGTTATGACCATAGAACACCATTTAGGATGGCAATATAGTATAAACCCCAGTTACAGTATAAGAAGTAAGAGGAATAGTAATAATGTGATATTCTCTTTTGCAGGACGTACAGACATGCTGACGCTGATGGCCATGCGCTGGAATCAGCAAAAAGTCAGCAACTTGGCCACCTCACTGTCCCGCAGATATCTGAAGGTAATAACATCGTTTTAGAAGAATTATTTGTGGCTGCAGCCTAAATGTAGATTTCTGTATTTACTTGTCTTTAATTGTTTGACGTTTGTAGACCACAAAAGCTCTGGAAAAGCAATTGCAGAACCTGGAGTCCATGAAGGCTGAGTTGGCAGTGACTGAAAAGCAGCTGGAAGACTGGGTCAGAGATGTGAATGAGTGGGCAGAAAGTGAGGACAATCTTAATGACGTTTTTCAACTTTTTTGTAGTCATGATTTATCAATTTATTTTAAATTTTCAGAATTAGTGATAACCCTCTATTGACATTTGCATTACTTATTTTTCATGAAGCATATGTAATAAAATAATATTAAAACATTTGATCAAATGTCACTGTTATTGTGAATTACTGTGCTTAATACACCTATTTCCTCTAAAAAGCAACAACAAACAACCCAAGGGATGCTGCTGCCTTGGCCAGCAAGATTGAAATGCTGACAGTAAGTGTCAAGAGACGTTCGCAGCGTCTCTACAAAGACACAGACAGCAACAAAGGTCGTTCCCGGATCCGCCGCAAGATCAGGGATGAGAAAGGGGTCCTGACAGCCACAGCTGAGAAATACAACTCAATGGTTCCAAGCACAGAAGCGCTGTGCCTCGAAGCCATTCTGTCTGTGGAGAAAGCTTGGCCATGGCAGCTACCAAACAGTGGTAAGTACACCAGTCTGCTGAATGCTCACAGCAAATGTGGAAAACCTTCATGTCTGATATATAAATCTATTTAAGACTTCATAGATTCTTTGAATGTTGATCTTTCATACACATTCATTCATGTTTTCTCATAAATGCTTTGCAGACTCTTTCGACCTCAGGACAAAGAGAAGAGCATTCGACCTTGTCATGGCAGTGAAGAGACTACAGGAGGAGAAGAAGATTCTCGTCACAGAAATGAACCAACACTGGAAGGTCCTTTCAACCCGCAGTGATTCCCTGAAAGAGATGTCCTGCCTGCAAAGTACAGTATATATTACATTTTTACTTTGCATGACTTTACACATCAGTGATAGGTGATGAAGTAACTCATATTGTCTTTATCTTATACATTTAAGATTCACCATTGGGCCTGAGCGAAGACGGGATGAAAGGTCTCCAGAGCATGTTTAGGAAAAAGCAGCACGACATCGGAGAAATGAAGACTCATGCTAGACGATGCTATCTGCAGCTTTTGACTGGAGCAGAGACCATCAGCTTCTTGCAAAGTCTTTCAGATGAGTCTTCTGACTGCGACTCTGACAGCTCTGATGACACACGGTGAAGCCCCCTCCAGACTACCTTCTATTTAACATCTACATGCTCCCCCCTGTGAAATACTCCGCCAACATGGTCTCAACTTCCACTCCTATGCCGACGACACCCAACTCTACATCAGCACCAATCCATCATCCCAGCTGTCACTAGTCAACTGCCTCCGCAACATCCAAACCTGGATGTCAACAAACCTACTGAAACTCAACAAAAACAAAACAGAGCTCATGGTTGTGGCCCCAAAAACACTGCTCCGGGAGGTTGGAGATCTGCTCCTCACCGTCGATGGCTGCTCCATCCAGCCTGGGCGTCACTCTGGACTCTAGCCTCACCTTCAACTCCCACATCAGGTCTACTGTCAAAACTGCTTTTTTTCACCTTCGAAACATCTCCAGACTCCGGCCCTCTCTCCCCGACCCTGTTGCAGAAACATTAATACATACCTTCATCTCCTCATGCCTGGACTACTGCAATGGAGTTCTGTTCGGGGTCACCTGCAAAGCCCTGGACAGGCTCCAGTACATCCAGAACTCTGCAGCCAGGCTCCTCACCCGCACTAAGCCCTGGCAACACATCACCCCCATCCTCCTCCACCTTCACTGGCTCCCGGTCAAGTCACGCATCCAGTACAAACTCCTCCTGCTAACCTACACATCTCTCCACTCCCTAGCCCCTGCATACGTCTCTGACCTCTTTCAGCCCTACACCCCCTCTCGTCAGCTGCGGTCCTCCGACAAAAAAAAATGACACATTTCTTAATGTCTTAATATGTATGTCCAGTAAGTTATTCTTCCGGTTGTTGATATGCTGTTGAAGACATTTTCTATCATTTCATTTTATTCAGATGTTATTACATGTCTACTCTGAAACACTATGTAAACAAGGTCCCATAACAATAAAGTTGATAAAAATTGTTTTGACTGTTCACTCATGTTCTGTTTGTATCTCTGTTTAGCAAACACACATACTGATTAGCACCATGAGGGGCGGATAAACCTTTTTGTCTGATGTTTTAAAATATGTGCAATAATATAGCTATATCCTGTATATATCACATTTAAAACAACCTTCAGTTGACCAAAGTGCTGTACAAGCAATAACTACAATATTAAATAACACAATAGGAGTACAATAATTAAAAACATGATAAAAAGCACAATAACTAGAAACATATATTTTTTTTAAACATACAAATGTAAAAATGTAATGTTCAACTAGTATTAAAAGTAATGACTAACATGAATAAAACATCTTCAGGTGTTATATATACATATCTGTCCTACACTAATAATGAAACAGATAAAATGGCATTGTATTCTGTGTTCCTCATAAATTACCTTTCAAACACCTCATCAGTTGCCTGTTTTTGACTTAGCTTACATAATTAGCCTACACCTGGTACAATGCCTTAGCCTCATATAGTCCATATTTAGCTTGATAATGGTAGTTAGATATGTAAATTAACATAATGTGTTTTGATAGCATTGTAAACCATGTGTACTTTATACGTCTGTATTATTCACATAGTGGTTAAAGCACGTTATTACACGTTTACAGTCATTGCAATGCCGGTAAGGTTGTGTTGCTAATCTCTGCTGCATGTTTTGTTGAATGGGTTACATTTGATGAAAACATTTAAATATTAAGAGTACATACAAATAGGGGGAAAGTAGAAGGTCAATGATAGAAATATAGAATAGAAAATATCAACAAGATAGGCTACTGTAAGTGATCTCTACAATAAAAGTTTAGTGCCGGATGTACACAGATATTAATAGGAGGATGTGCAAATCAGGCAAACTAATTAGGCTTTATTAAAACATTAAATAATACTTTAAGTTAAGGTCTTCTTTTAAATACATGTAAGCAAAAAGCTTTGGTAAATCTACAGATAAATATTAAGCCTGATAAAGTACTTAAAGTCTAATATTCAGGGTTGCCAACTTTGGGTACCTGGCTGGAGTGAGATTTTGATATCATGGGTTTAATTACACATATGCGCACTAAATGACTGCTATCATGTCAGTAGCGGGACCTTAGCATATATATTGGATATATATACAATATATGCAAATACACAATATTGGACACAGACTATAAAGGGCACAAAGTTTCATTCACTAATGAAAGTCAAACACATGTTTGTTTCCACTATTTTATTGTGCCTGTCGCGATAAGCAATTAATTGACTTATCGTACGATAAATAAAAATGAACTCGATAAATTGCCATTTACATGAGGATGTGACAAGCAGTTTGAAAGGATGTACTTGAATTATTATTATATATTATCATTATGTCAGTGGTCTAAAATGGTCATACAACGGTGCCGACAATATTATCGTTTATCGCAATAATTTCCGGGAAAATGTATCCAACAAAATTAATTATCGTGAGAGGCCTATACATGAAACACACACACACAAACAAATCTAGACTTACTCCAAACTGCCAAATATATTAATTAACGTACTCTCACTCTCATATACTCTTTGACTCTATTTTGGCCTAGTAGAACAATAAGCAGCAGACTTTTACTTTTTATCATTTCTACTGGATCTCAGATCTGCGCATGCGCAATACGGGTCGGGGATTGACCAACCGGCTCCCACTGCTCTGCTGTCTGTTAACGTTGTTAAGAGTGGTGGGGGCGGGGAGGGAGCGGATTGACAGCTTGAGCAGCTGTCAACTCAACATTGTAAATAACCAACCAAAAATGATCGCCGGTTCATCTTGTTTTTGGCGTGAGAATAGGTTGGGCAGCGTGAGAGCGTGAGATTGAGAGTGAAAGCGTGTGTCACACGCCAGATGCGTGAGAGTTGGCAACCCTGATATATTGCATAATTTGTTTTGGGACTTGACAATCAACTTTCCTGCAATGTTAACTGCGTTTAAGCACTTATTTTAACTGACATTACATATTAATTATACTCTTATAAGATGTATGTAGATAGTATAAGAAATGTGCAGAATATGACTGTTTAATGGTGGAGGTATAAACATATTGATAGATCTCTTGTAATGCACTGTTGACGAACCTGCGAAGTTTGTCATTCATTGCATAACTACACCGTAGTTGTGTATATGATATGTCAATAAACCTTAGAACATCTTGAAAGGGATGTGCCAAATAGGTTAAGGTTACCCTCTGAATTGTGGTGGAGTAGAATTACAAAGTAACAATAAATACTGCTGACAGTTAATGTATCAACGTCTCCATTACAAGTTTCAAAAAACTAAACCTTTCTTATTTACACTATTGTCTTTGATTTATTTCCCAAATTATGTTTGTGAATTTAATGATTGTCAAATACAGTTCAACTGGGGAGTAAAACTGTTATAGCAAACCAGATAAGTCACATGTTGACCTGACAAATCTACATTTTCAAATAGTGCTTTTAACAGGAGCCAAATTGTGCTACATTTCAGGTGAAGACTTTGATAGTAGGTTTAGAATAAGTTTCTAGGTTTTAACATAATGTTTCTCATATGGTCCGTTGCTGCAGGACTGTCACATATCGTCTTTTAGAGATGCTCCTGATGTTCCGGTCCCTGGCATTTAGAAGATCTGGTCTGCATTTCCACGTTTTGGGGCAAATTCAAATTGTACCAGTATTATTCATGACATATACAGAAGACCATAACAAAAATTGATATCTATCTTGTGTTTTAAGACTGAGGCAGCCCAAAAATAATGATTGTCACATTTGCATTAACATACCAAAAACTAAAACATTTTAAATGGCTTTACCCTATTGAGAAATAATTGTACAAAAAATACACAACAGAAACAACAATTTATTGAAACAATTTATTGAAAAAACGTATTGTGTGTGTGTGTGTGTGTGCGTGTGTGTGTGTGTGTGTGTGTGTGTGTATGTGTCTGTGTGTGTGTATGTGTCTGTGTGTGTGTGTGTATGGTGTGTGTCTGTCTGTGTGTGTGTATGTGTGTGTGTGTGTTTGTGTCTGTGTGTGTATGTGTCTGTGTGTCTGTGTGTGTGTGTGTGTGTGTGTGTGTGTTTGTGTCTGTGTGTCTGTGTGTATGTGTATGTGTGTGTGTCTGTGTGTATGTGTGTGTGTGTGTGTATGTGTATGTGTGTGTCTGTGTGTGTGTGTTATTATGTTGAGCTGCTATAGTTTTGGGCAGGCTCCCATGTGTCCTCCCAGTCCTTGCCACTGCAAAACACACATAAAGAACAGTTGAATAATTATTAATATGTCATGCTATATATATTTCTGATGCTTAATCAGGCAAGTAAGTACATTTAAAATAGGATTTGAAACATTAGCTTCAGCTCAATGTCCCTCTTCGACTCCTCTCTCCCCCTCCTCCGGGACTTGACCCGGAAATCAATCAAGACACGCCATGTTGAAGAACGTCACAATCGCTTCAACGCAAACGGAGGAGTCGAGGAGGGGTGAGGGAGGAGGCTTCCAGAGGAGACGAAAGGTAGGATACACGAGAGCACACTACTCGCGCATCAGACCTCCGCCCCCAGCTGCACAACCTCTGCTCACTGCAGCTGATCTTACCGTTAAAGGAGAGTCATTAAATGTTTAAAGTGCTTCATTAAGAGTAAAATATATTAAATCTCTTAAACGAATCAGGAGATCGAACTCTATAAAAACATTAAAGTGTGTGAAATATACTTACAAATTCTATAATAATTTTTTGATTATAAAATAATAACGTACAGTTCTTACTTGTGGTTTGTGATGCATGTGTGGTAGACCCACAGCACGTCAAACATTTAGGATATATACAAATACGGGTAGCATAACTAATACATATGTTAGTGATTTGTGTCTCTCTTCTGTAGGACAAATTACATAACAACATACAATACAAAAGTATTCAATTGAGATGAGCCTACTGTATCAGTGTATAAACCCTTTGCTTCCAGTACAACACATACATGTATGGTCATTAAGGAAAAACTTACCACTCGGAGCATGGTGTCCAGCGAATTTTCACTTCTTCTCTTTGCTGAAAGGCATGACATGAAATGGACAGAAATATTAATGAGAGATACTTTACAAAGTTAGGTGATACAACTTTACAGAACATTATTTGTACCATTTATAGACCATCAATAAGGTTAGATTTCTACACATAAACAATACTAACAGACAACAGCATCTGAAACCAGAGATACAGAAGAATCCACTATCGTACCAGTATGGAGCAGCTTCTTTAAGACTGGGAGTTTCCTACAACACAAGGTTATAAGGTGATGCAAAACGTAGTCCTGTAATGCTTACAATGACAACAAAAGGTGCAGTGTCGAGGATGGATTGAGGAACCTCACTGCTCCATACTTGTACGATAGTGGATACTTGTGTATCTCTGGATTCAGAGGCGTTATATGTTAGTATCGTTTGGGCTCTGTGCAGATATCTCACTGATGGTCTGTAGACGGTACCAATAATGTTCTGTACGTTTTTATGTTATTTAACAAGAAAAACAAAAAGGAAGAAATTATAACACACTTACATTAAAAACTCTTTTTTCCACAATGCTCTCATAGAGGAACACCTTCTGGGTCCTGTGTTTCCTGCATTCTAAAAATAAATAACACCATTTTAATAATTAGGTAATAAGTCTTCCAAACAATCATTTAAAGAAATGTATTGTATAGTATATAGTATAGTATAGTGCAAATCGAACCTTTTCGACTTTTCTTTGATGGTGGAGGCGGTGGAGGAGAAGACAAGGAGGAGAGAGAAGGCTGGGAGCATGGAGGAGGTGGAGGAGAAGACAAGGGGGGGAGAGAAGGCTGGGAGCATGGAGGCGGTGGAGGAGAAGACAAGGGGGGGAGAGAAGGCGGGGAGCTATGGAGGCGGTGGAGGAGAAGACAAGGGGGGGAGAGAAGGCTGGGAGCATGGAGGAGGTGGAGGAAGAGAAAAAAGATGGA